CCCCACGATCGCCCCAAGCTCGACGAGTAATTTCACAAGATTCCATTTCGGCGCTTATTTCGCTACGGCAACCGGAACCTAATGCGGACATAGAGCTTCTAATTTACCCGGCCATAAGAACCTGGGGCGTCCGTGTGCCAGCGGCTGACAGGTCTTCGAATTTCGATCGAATTATTAACTCAAATTAAATACTAAAATAGTAACTCAGATTTTTTCACTACGTGGATATATAAAATTAATTATTCGGTAATTTATACAAAATAAGGCATATGAGGAATGTTGAGGATTGAGGATGAGGATTCTCATTTGAAATTAATTCGGCAATAAATTTATTCATTTTAATTAATAAATTAATTTCATTTATTGATCACGTCAATTGGAGTGATGCAGAATTCAACAGAACTAACTTCAATTGAAGCCGTTCTTAGGCTGCTGGAAAAATTTAAAACTATTCAACCGATCTTTCTGTCTCACACACAGAGAAATTTGAGGGTTGTTTTCCTACGCTAACAAAATTTAGAGTCGCCCCCAGCTTCTGGTAATCCAAATCAGAAGCTGATGCGTCTGTAAATTTTCAATGGGTAATAGCCTATTAGTGTTGGTCACCCAAACCCACTTTTATCATGCAAAAGAGTTAATCAATGCTACATCCGCTCTCTACAACAAATTGTGTTGTTATTTTAATAATAAACCATCCATTTCTATGACAGTGATCAATATTTCTTAATTCAAGTCCTTAGGTAACAAATTGTGTCTTTATTTTAATAATAAACCATCCATTTCTAAGACGGTGATCAACATTTCTTAATTTAAGTCCTTAGGTAACAAATTGTGTCATTATTTTAATAATAAACCATCCATTTCTAAGAGAGCGATCAACATTTCTTAATTTAAGCCCTTCTTTTGGCTCTCGGATATTAACTTTGACCGTAAGACATTTACTACCAGCGATGACTCAACATCGTCCATTATTCCTAATTATAGACGCGAATAAAAGGCCCTAGCAAGTTAATTGTAACCTTAAAAACACAGGAGGGAAAATTAATGGTTAGGCGTCATTATTGGCACCATTATTGCTTGCAGTCTCACTGCCATACCGACACTCATGGCAGAATTCCATAAGCACTTCATATCCTGCACCTCAATAAAAGGTTCTCTATTTTTACCGCAATTCACATGATGATGCATAACCTGTCCTGACAGATGAGTTATGACTAGTCGGTGGTGCTACGGGGGAGCTTTGTAATCATGAAGGCAATGAGTCAAAAACGTATATGCAAGCAGATATTTCAAATTAAGCCTATATTGAAAACATGGGTAAGATCAAAATTAATCATAATAATTTATAATAATTTTATTAATAATAGCAATAATAATAATTTAATACAAGAATGAAGACAAGTACCAACCACAGGAACATCCAGAATTGCCTAGCTTACAAATCTGGCTGGATTATAAAGCAGGCTAGTGAATTTGAGTTGATTTAAAAATCGAGAAGTTCAGATACAGGGTGAAAATTCCAGGGGGTAAATGAGCAGGCAGCCTGACCTGCACTTGGAGATGCCCTCGCGTACCTGTTCGTTGGCGCTAGGCTTCGGCGATTCCTTTCTCCATAATAAAAATTTAATAACAAGAAAATAAATTGCCGCCAAGTTGATTACTGAGCATCAACATAAAATCTGCACGGAGGCCACCTCTCAGCATATATATTGCCGGCACGCTGTAAGCTTCATTTGTGAGCGCAGTAAGAAAGTAAGATTGACTTGCATCTATCTGGGACAACCGAGGGAATTTTCTGCTACGACCTCTCAGAGTTTGACAAGGATGCATTCAAGCAATCGTGGTATCTTACTAGAATATGAATTGATATTAAAACTTTGGAAGTGCATCACCGTAGAAGAAAAATTCAGCTTGCAACTGAATTTAGGATGTTATGCTTTAATAATTTTTTACCACGCTTGTAAGTAACTGTGAAATTGACAAAATGTAAAATTTCATATATACCTACTATGTATTCCCGGCTTAATTAAGTTAATTCAGTTTTTGAATAATCCTTTCAAAATTACATCAAATTGCAACGTAACTTAAATCGTAGTAAAGAAAAATATCCATATGTGCTCATACCATCATCATAGAAAAGTTAGTCCTATATTGCCACATTTTTCAGGATTCCCACAACACGACAACTACGACTTATACCGACGCCTGTTGAGCTAAGCATTCGAATCGGTTAGCTCATTACTAAGCAACATTAAATTCCAGACACAACCAAACCGTCAGAGCCGCACGGCGCTGTCATATGAATGCAAAGAAGCCAAAACTTAACATAAAGCATCAACATCGTCCCGTGCATATGCTTGGATAAGTCCATGATAAATTGATTTTCCTTCGCCAAAATATACAGTAATTATGAAGTAAGGAAATTCTTATAACTCGTTGTCGTGGCCTTTGAGCTCTTGTAGTGCGAGGAAAGTTGAAGTTCCGGGATAATCGCATGATTCAGCGGATTTCTTCTTATATTGTTCAATTTTGCAATTTGATTAGAACAAACTTGACGCGGATAAGCAGCCATTTTACAAGACGTCTACAAGTCGAAAAATATACTAATGATCACAATAATACTCACTGAATGAAATCACTTTTTTGACGACAAATTTAATTTGTTGTTTTCATATCGACAATAAATAATACCTATATTGTATAATAAATTCGGCTAATAAAACGATAAATGTTCTCTCTCCTATATCCCAGGCTCAGAAGCGGGGTAAGATCTCCATAATGAAAAATCTATGGCCAACTTAAAAAATGGTAGAACAAAATTTGCAATATTTTATGAAGAACATTTTCGAAACTAGTAATATTTCAGGTCCTGGTAATTAAAAATTGGCAATATTTAATAAAAACAATTTTAAAACTGGTATTATTTCAGGTCCTGGTGATCCTGTTTCCGCTAGTGGCGGTCCTAGCATCAGCGCGACCCCAGCAGAGTTCAGGCTACGACTACAGCGCTCCTCAAGCTGGAGGAGTCACCGATGTTTTTGAAAGCCAACGTCAACCTGCAACCTCAACGAGACAGCGACCCAACGCTTTCCAGCAACAACGACCATCTCTCGAAATTGGCTTCCAGCCAGGGCTTGCTTCAGGCTTGGGATCGCAAGAATTTGTTCGTAATCCGGGAACGACTTTTGATTCGAGCGCTGAATCGCAGATTGGGTTGAGGAAGCCGGGGCCAGGAGGCAGTTTCGTACCAGATCTCCCAGGACGTGGTCAACCACAGCAAGCGATCTCTGGCTCTACAGGACCATTTGAAAACGTAAATGTGGTGCCTAACCAATTTCAAGTCGGTCTGTCAAGTGGAGAAATCGGTTTCGGAAGCAGAGAGTTCACCCAAGCCAACGTGAGAGGTCAATCGGGAGTTGGATTATCTTCAAGAGAAAGGATCACTCCCACTCAGGGATTGTCCTCTGGATCGTTTACGGGCACTCAGTCTCTGCAGACACCCGCTGAACAAGTCCGTGGTTTTTCAAATCAACAACAGAGACGTCCTGGGTCACAAGAAGTATTTATAGGACAACAACAACGTGGTCAATTTGACGTTGGAACTGGGCTCACCAGCCAGCCAGGACAAGCCGGGGCATCTCAAACAGTCGGCTTCGACGGACCAATTCAACAACCCGGGCAAGCCTCGGCACTAACCGGGATTGCTGGCCCTGTTCAAGATCAGTTCGGAAGGCAAACACCTGGAGTTTTCCAGCAAGGAGGTCATAACCAGCAAGTTGCCGGAGTCCGAGGTGGGCAACCTGACATCGAGACGCATGCACAGTACAATTTCAAATGGGACGTCAACGACCCTGAATCTGGAAACTTCTACGGGCACCAAGAGGAGCGCGACGGAGCGTTAACTCGGGGCAGGTTAGTTAAAAACTTTATGGATAACTATGTGGATGAAGCCTTCTGTAATTAGATAGGTGGGCTATCTACTGGCCAAATTCATGCTAAATGTTGGCAATTAAATTCCTGTTTTATTATTTCCAGATACTACGTTACGTTACCGGACACGAGGGTTATGACGGTCGACTACTATGCCGATGAAACTGGGTATCATCCCACCATTACCTTTGAAGGAGAAGCTCAACAATTCATCCCTACACGGCAAGCAGCAACTCAAGTTCAAGGAATTAATGCTGGAGGTCCCATCTCTACTGGATCAAGAAGACCAAGCCCAGCACAAGCGTCACAAGAAGTTGGATTGCACGGTTCGTCTTTGGAATTGCCGGGATCAGTTCAGGGTGTAGGGATACCGGCTGCAGGATCTGTTTCGGGGCAGACTTTTGGAAACCGACGTCAGGAGGGTCAGGAACTCGGAGTACAGCCTCAGCAGGGCCAGACTTTCGTTGGCCAGCCTCAGCAGGCCCAATTGTTTGGAGGACAGCCTCAGCAGGGCCAGAATTTCATTGGCCAACCTCAGCAGGCCCAATTGTTAGGAGGACAGCCTCAGCAAGGCCAACCTATTGGAGGCCTGCCTCAGCAGGCCCAATTGTTTGGAGGACAGCCTCAGCAGGGCCAATTGTTTGGAGGACAGCCTCAGCAGGGCCAATTGTTTGGAGGACAGCCTCAACAGGGCCAGACTATTGGAGGCCAGCCTCAGGAGGCCCAATTGTTTGGAGGACAGCCTCAGCAAGGCCAAGCTTTCAGAGGTCAAATAGAGCAGGGCCAGACGTTTGGTGGCCAGCCTCAGCAGGGTCAGACTTTTGGAAGACAGCCCCAACAGGGACTAACTATCCCGGTTCAGCAACCACAAATTCCGTTAACTCAGACTTCATCCGCCCCGTCATTTGGCTCTGAACAGCAGCTAGGAGCCTTACCGGGATCGCGAATTCCTGGGTTCAATTCAGCCGAACGGGTTCAACAGGTCGGATTTCCAGGACTCCAAATAGCACAGAGAGGTCAAGCTCCAGCAATTCAGCAGCAAACCCGATTATATCAAACCCCGCTGCAAGGAACACCTCAAGAAGGAGCCCAACAGAGCGTAGGAGTCGGTGCTCCTCGTGAGACTTTCCAAGCGCCTGCACCAACAGCGACAATTGGTCAAAATCTACGAGCGTCTGGAGAGTTTTTGGGCTCTCAAGAGCGGGGGTTCATCCAACAACCTGGGCAAGGACTCGGCCAAAATCCCGTGCAAGGAATCGGTCAACAACCTGGACAGGGATTCATTGAGCAACCTGGACAGGGATTCATTGAGCAACCTGGACAAGGATTCACCCAACAACCTGGACAAGGACTCGGTCAACAAACTAATCAAGGCTTCGGACAACAACCTAATCAAGGCTTCGGACAACAACCTAATCAAGGCATCGGACAACTACCAAGTCAAGGATCAGGCGAGCAGCAAAACCAGATTTTCCCGAACCAAGGATTTATTTCGTCTTCTGAACAGTCAGGATTGAAAGGTTTTGTTCCTCAGAGTCCCGTAACCAGAATTCCTTCTCAGACTCCTCAGCGTCCTGTCATTCAGCGACCAACTCAGTTATACGGCACGCCGCAGGCATGATCTATCAATATTTGCTTGGCAAATATTAATCATAAGAATTCCCGATAAAACTATCCGAAATAACTTGTTGAAGGCATCAAGGTTTGGCCTCCGAAGAATCCCGGTATAAAATTTATGTTCGAAATTCTACGCATACTTCCAGGCCTATTTTATTAATATAGGCAGGTTACCCATTAATGCCCAATTGATTTCTCTTCGACGAAACAATGGTTTTGGAGTGAAATGCATCAGAGACTCGCTTCAAGTAAATTTCTTTGGATGACTGATTCAACGAACGAATGAATTTCGAGGCACTACGAGACGACCGTCGAATAATGGTTAACATTGCGAATTGATATAAGTTTTTATTTTAACTCGCTTCTGAATCTTAGCCATGAAACAGAATTTATATTTTTATATCGTGCAGAATTAGGTTAAAATTAAAATAAAATTTTATATCCTAAAAGATTTGAATAAATTTTCAAACCAATCCAAAACGTAATCTGGACAGGTATGGAAAGTACGAATGTTTTATCAACAGAGAATCAATAATTGTAAGTTGTGATTTTAATATGATCTCCACGATATATTCGTGACTAGTATACATAGCACGACAGAATTATGAGAGTAAATCACTAACAATATAATGATTCCAAGTACACGGTGTTAATATCCGATTTTATTTTTGATATTAACTGGAAATTAAATTACTTTTTAGCAAAAGAATGACATAAAAGTTTGTGGCAATCACAATTTTCGAAATTTTTTTCGAATTCTATGTGGAACACGTGTGATGATTAATTACGGAAAGAATTTATTACACATAAGCGCAATGTTTATTAGTAAAATCATTTACTATATAATGGTTCTCTAATTGACCCATTACTACTATACGATGTCTACAATGGCCTCAGACCGTATAATCCTGTACTGTCAAAACTACGATTAGTAGGGTTTGATTGCCGCATAGAAATACGAAGCTGTTTCGATCTAAATAAAAGTTGTCGTTTATTTTCGTTAACAGAATAAGACGTTTCTCTTGAAAATAGGCGATAAAATCGATCTAAATAAAAGTTGTCGTTTAGTTTTCTTTACAAAATAGATAAGTCAGCGACATAAGTGCTGGTCGGCGACATAAGTTCTGTGGCGACTTAAGTGGCATCGACGTTAGTTTATTTGTAATAATTGCGATTATCACATTTCCTGCAAAGCTATTGAGTTACCCCTTTCTGGGTCACGCGTATATTTCTCAGGTTTATATATAAGTTTATATAGGCCTTATAAAATATATAAGGTTTTTCACAAGCTTGTTTACCCTGCAAATACATAATAATATCAACATAATTAAGGACGTTACCTCAACGTGGCATGAGCAGAACGCAGCGACGTGTCTGAAGATCCTGTCATTCTGCTACCATTCCAGTTTCGTGATGAAATCTTGCGAGTTGTTACATCCCTTCAGATTTTTTTTATAACTACAACATAAAATTACCGCAAACCATAGCATAAATCAACGTAATTAACTTATTAACGTTTAAATCTTCCAGTGAAGTTAACAAGGCAGGCCAATCTCAGACACTTGGTGTTGGTGGCGGTCTCTTCGCAATTAACATGGTGTTCATTTAAAAGATATACGAGACAAATCAACTCGCAGCTGATACCGGATTAAAATATAGGGAACCATTCACTTTACTTCACACGCATTTTCACTTTATTTACCACTGAAATCATCATCACTTTGCGGCATGCGTGAACGTGATCTCCTATTATTGCTTGCACATACGATAAATATCATAAAATATGACATGAAAATCATCAATCAATGTAGGGTTTATAATTACACACGATAAATATGACATGAAAATCATCAATCAATGTAGGGTTTATAATTCAATTTCCACTGATAGAGACTTGTGAAAATGAACAATTAAATGAGCAATGTGACATTGAGCAACCGAGTTTGAATGTAGATGGAAACAAGCCATAGTTGATTGCTTAATTTCCGAATTAGTCTTTAAGCAAAATAGCATCCCAAGTGATTAATAATTCTGAACTCTTGTGAATTTGTAATAGAAAGATAAAACAAATTTTGAACTTACAACTACAAGCAGACATGCTTCATAATGAAGAATATTCAGATCATTATACCTAACAGCGTCAATGTTTTGAAAATGGCGGCATCTCACAATGTAGTTTCGGCATTAATAAGACACACGTTCTCTCGCAAAAATTGACCTTTGAAAAACTATTTATTCCAGGGTGGCCAAAATATTCAAATGTTCAAATTAAACTTCATGATTCCAACTAAATGACAATAAAGTCAATTAACCTAATAAATCAGCGTGTGATATCATAGAAACATGCAGAAGACAACCGGGGTGCTGAACGACGAAGGACTACCGTAAGGGAAAACTTTTTCGGTCTAGACTGCGGAATAAACAAAAGGCTTTGACACGAAATTGGAAACCATGATGATAATGATTTCAACATTGGACAGTAACATCAATTAACTTCTGGCATTGAATTTTCATTTTTGGTAAAAGAAAATCTTGTCAACACGAAATACCTATCTTCTTCACTGTACCGTAGCATCTTTCTTATATACTGTATGTACCCAAATTCAGTTCTAGGTAGCCTCTGCCTTTAACAGTAGTCGGTGGACGAACGGCAAACAGTGGTTTGCAACTTGTCTTTATTTTAGCTTATTATTCTATTTTTTAGCCGATTTAAAATTAACAATTGGTATTTGCTATTTGTCACTAGCTAGTCGAGCATATTCCGGTCACCCACTTCTGCACTTGACGAGAGGCGGAAGCAGACTACGGGTTTATTTAATTAGATTAGTTTACTATGAAAAGTTTTTTATAATCAATAAAAAACTTTTATATAGGACTACTATTCTATTTTCCAGACGCTGATCAAACTATTTTCTGAACATCATCTAAATCTTGCGAAATGTAATAAATCAAGTAAATGATTTAATAACGATACTTTGGAGAACCACGCTAGACATAAAATAATTTATATACTGCTAAATAACCTCAAAGTCATTGGACATTTCTGCGTCCTCCTCAGCATAGTTTCGGCCTGCGCGCTGCCTGCGGCTGGTCAACCACTTCCATTCGGTCTTCAACTTACAAGCAATTGCTAAAAACTTGATTTTCTATCAATGCAATTTTTACTATTAGAAGCTTAGACTCGTAATTAAATTATGTTACATTCTAATTCATATTATTGTTGTATCCTATAATAAAATTATGAAAAATCAGATTTGTCGATATGATTTTGTTTGTCAACATCACCAGTCGAGAACGTTTTTCCAGTAGAAAAATATCATCGGGAATTCCCACTAGCGAACTATGAACTTGATTTACCTTTAAGCACGTCATCTCCTGTCTGGTACGGACTACTAGAGCAAACCTATGCCATTGCATTAAGTAGCATGGGTGTCAAAGATAAATATTTGTAGAGTTAAATGATCTTAGTTTTAGCATAGACAAAGTTAGAGAATTGTATCGGAAATTATTGTAGCTGGAGTTTCGGTGTAATTTAAATAAATAATAGACTTTGTCATCTTTTTTAATGAGCGAAATGTCTACCGGTCGGACAGAAGCGCGTGGGCGTTAGCGTGGGTTACAGCGTGGGCCAGCCCGGCCCTGAACATGCCCTATACCAGCTCTCCCTTTAGCCACGTTTTATTACCTCAATTCGTAACCAATAATTATGAAATTTAATATATGGTTTCACATGCTTATTGCGCCTGTCTCTTATACACATCTAGATGTGTATAAGAGACAGAAGTTTAGCGTACCGGCATTTTTATGGCTTCAAGTCCTATAAAGTTTTCTCCTCTGTATTCCAACCTCGTGACACAATTTTATTGAAAGGCCTAGCAAAAAATAAAGACCTAGTCATTTGTAAACCTGATAAGGGCAAGGGTGTTGTTCTTGNGGCTTGTAGTGCGTAGTGCTACTTCGTAGTGCTAGTGCCCTATTTAGCATGCCAACCGTAGTGTTCCATGTCGCACTAGTACGGCACTACGGCTTGTAGTGCATAGTGCTACTTCGTAGTGCTAGTGCCCTATTTAGCATACGGGCCAATGTGCTAAATACACTGATGAGTTGTGACGAAGGTTGAATTGACAGTTACCATTTTAATTCTAAATCTACTGGCAACTGCCGAATTTGTTTTGCGACTAATATTTCATGTATCTTATTACTGGTATGTCCGATGAAATAACTGTCAGGCGTCAAATCACAGTTAGCAGTGCAGGAAATGAAGAACAGTACTTTACTTGTTTATGTAGAGTCAGCCTTGCTTGCTGATGCTTGTATCAAGCTTTTTAGAGTCCAAAAGTTGGATTTTATATGTAGTATGGCCTCTGCTTCAGAAAAAATGTCATAGCCTGCTCCCTGCTGTACTGAGCTTCCCATGCATACATCACACGATAGAAATCCTGCTGCCTGATGCTTTTTCAGTCTGATTTGGGCAATTGTCAGGTCCTGACATTTCGTTTTTCAACTGTTTTAGGGATTTGTTGAGTCAGTTAAATAATAAGCAGCCTTTTAATAGTTCTCCATAAGTCATAGCTTCACATGAACTTCAATCATTTGAATTATTTGCTGCCTTCCTTCTATACTGGGCAAAACTATATTGCCAAAGCATTTTCAACTTGATGCAAGTAATGACAGCTAATGATATTTAATTTCATCATCATAAAATTATTTATTAATATATCTTATTTGCAGATCATCCATCATCAATATACGTACATGCACTCGTGCTGGAGAATGGGAAGACCTCCATCTTCTTTCCTGCTGCACAGCCATTGATTGAAAGTAATTGAGAAAAACCTGCAAGCCTCAACATTTATACAGAAATGTTGAAGAAATTAATATTTAATAACTTATGTGTTTCTATCAATATTTCTAGTGTATACTCAGTTCTCCTAATACCCGTTGAAGTATATTTAAAGACTTTTTATGATAGCATTCTCACAATGTTTGTGTTAATTGAAATAAAAATATTAGACATTACTTTTCATGCAATGTTCTGGTTAATATTACATATCTATTATAATTTAGGAATGAAGAAAATACCAAGCCACAACAAATTCTGTTGAACATCAGTTCAGCATTTGTGACACATGAATGAGTGTACAAGTTTATCAATATAAAATAAAATTTCCTAGAATGAACACTGCAAAGTAAAGTTTAACTTTAAAAATGTATTGTACGCATATAACTTAGTTTAGCAATTATCAAAACGCCAATTTAAAACACTTCTCTTTACAACTGGGAAGAATAATTAACTTCATTTGAAGACAATTTAAATTAAAGTATAAATGCAGACATGAAATAGCGAGAAATAAGAGGTGTCAATTTGTGCCACAGCTTTCTTCTTAATATTGCCATGTTGATATGGTGCCTGACGCTCCTGAAGTGTGCAGTGTTCAGGGACCACAGTTCATTCGACAATCTGCACATATAATTGCACATGAGAATAAGCTGACAGTTTAAATAATCAATTAATCAAGCACAATCAATATTGGAACATTTAAAACATTAAAATGCGAGAGGAATTTTATTTTTATAGCATGTAGTGTAATTAAATAAAAGCCAAATTTATTTTCATTTGTAGAAATTCATGCTTTTGTTCGTAAAGGGAATGTATGTTTTTCTTTGTATAATAAATGATTGGCTTAGAATACTCTGAAAGAGAGATGGCTGCCTACATTTTTAAATTAATGCCTGTGAATCATAAGCATCAAGACTATAGTTTCCATAAGCTAAATTCTTCATGAAATTCATGTGGAATGTAGAAATATTGAATGAAGCTTATACATGATTTGATGAACTCTGTCTCTTCTCATCATAACGTAAATATAAGTTAGCAAACTGTTCTTGACATATTATGGTCATGTGCTACAAATGAAGTTGGAGCACAGTTAAATATAAAAAATAAATATGAACCAAATTTTGCCTCATGACTACATTACTGTCATGACAAGTGTAAGACTGAAATAACATTGAGACCACATTGTTACTTAAAGAGGCTATAGATTTAAGAAGTAAAAAGTCATTTAATACATAAATCACAAAGAAAATTGTTCATACATAATTTTTAACTATTATTGCTGTTATATACGGCCTGTTATGGCAAGAAGCATGTACAAAGGATAGTGGTAGTAATGTTGTCATTTGTAAAACATTTCATTAAGAGGGTTTTCAAGTTTATTCATTGAGATATCATAGGAAGCTGCGCAGTTACTTCTAACAAGTTAATAGATATCACTTAAAAAAACTTAAATTTTACAGTGATCACTCATTTTTTTCCCACTTGTATTTGTAACAGGGATTCTCAATATAATATTGTGAAAATACAATTAAATGTCAGCAAATACTCCTACAATTGTTGATTAGTTGCAATGATTTACTTAACTCTAAAGAGAGTAAATATACTGAAGAGATCAGGAGATCTTTATTCCTAGATGAGTTAACAAATCTTTTCTGCTAGACCCAATCATTCCAATATCATTCACAAGATGCAAAGCAAATTTCATATGAATAAGATTAAAATTGAACAAAAGTGTGGACCACCCACCATAAAGAGGAATGTACTTGAAGCAGTATTAGGCTGCCTCATCTTCCTTGGAATAGTCTTGAGTGCTAGTTTCATTTCGCCTCATGATGAAACATCCTGTTTTAATCCAAATGCATCTTGATAAGAGAAGCATACATACCCTGAAAAATAAAAAATGTTATTAAAAATATGCAACATAGAGATTAGTGGAAAATATTTGCAATTAATGAACAACTGCAGCGATGGGGAATTTAAATTTTTTCTGCTGCTGCCATTTTGTGTCTTGTGCAACAGGTGAGATGTACTTGTCATTTGTTGGCACTTGGCTATCGCAACTACTTGATTTAATAATGTGAAATTAATGTAGTAGTTATCATATTTTTAACAATCAAAGTTGAATCTAGGTTGCATAGTCTATTACAAAAGTGTAATAATGTCAATGACACTTGACACACATGAGTTGCCGCTCAGCAGCAAGCATGGAAAACTTTTACCATTAGGGCTGCGACTAGAGCTTACCTGCCATTTTCGGAATTGCAAGATTTCCGCCAGATTAATTACCTACTATGTAATTATTACCAAAAATGCACAATTGGGGCGCAAGATTTCAAATGAATTAAAAATTGGTCACATTGGAGCCGCGAAATTTTAGAAACAAGCAAGAAAATTGCAATTCTGCTCTTCAGACAGGGTGCAGACATTGGGTGAATATCAAAAGATATTTGGTGATGCATCAGCAGCAAAATCTACGCCTTCTGAAGATATTGCCAACACATTTGGATTGAAATTATGACATTTTAGAAATTACTGTAAATCTGAAAGACTGCAAGGTTTCCGGTATGCCAGATGGATCAGAATGCAGTGAAGCTTGTCCGGCAATCAGTTGCAAAATGTGTATAGGCTAAGTGTTGTTGTGGTTCCCCGGTCTCAATTTTACAAGAGACCCCAGGCTAAGTGTTGCCGTGCATGGAGAGTAAGAAAGTTAAAGTTACTTGCATCACTTTCTTATTAAAAATTACATGGCGACAGTTCTTGAAAATGGCTGGCAACGCTTTGGCTTTGGGCTAAAAACCATATTGTGGAAAGGCTGCTTGCACCCTCTGCACCCTGGCAGGCAGGCATGGAGGCCTGGCACTGGCACTGGCAGTGGCAGGCTGGCTTAGCAGCAGTCTAGCAGAGACTGCATTTAATTCACAGCTCATCAATGACAAGTGACAACTGCATGATACTGTTAAGAATTGAAATTTTTTATTATTAATTTAGATGCTAGAGAGTTTTGCAATATTTTTACTATATGGCTTCTTAAGCCTTCTTTTGGAAGCTGGCAACAAAAGTGCTATGGCAAGTTATTGGCAACCAGGCAAGTTGGGGCAACGTTGGTGCAATCACTGCAATGGAGTGATTTGATGCCTGACAGTTATTTCATCGGACATACCAGTAATAAGATACATGAAATATTAGTTGCAAAACAAATTCGCTAGTTGCCAGTAGATTTAGAATTGAAATGGTAACTGTGAATTCAACATTCGTCACAACTCACAAGTGTATTTAACACATTATCTAGCCAATGAAAGTACCTCTTTATTATTATTTAAATTTGCCCACCGTCGTAATCAGGAATGTAATTGTAAAAACTTACACTTTTTCGCAAATATCCAGGTAATGGACGATGATGATGACAGGTTGTAGGTGACGAAGAAGTCCAGCGCAGACCACTTGTAACACCTGGACTCAGCAATGATTATTGAATTAAATTAAGACTTCATCTTCTCATTTTCAGTTGCACTCTTCTGTCTGCTGATGCTTACTCTCCACGTTGTCAGCAGTCTCTCATGATGTGTTGTGATGCGAGGCAAATTGGTGATAGATCCAGTGCTCCCCAGTAGCTATAAGGTAGCTAGGCGGCCAGTTTGGGCAAGATAAGTAGCAGTTGCTCGCAAAATGGAGTGCTGAACTCTTCTAGGAAAATTGCCTCCACCAAGAAGCACGCGCAGGGACATTTGAGGAACTCCCAGGGCATTCATGCTTGATACCATCAGCCGTCTCTCACGGTTGTATAGAGCACATGTCAGGAGGAAGTGTTCAATTGTTTCTTCTAGCCCACAATGCAGGCACATGGGAGTGTCAGTCATCCCAAACCGATGGAGGTAAGATCGAACCCCAACATGTCCTAGATGAAGGCGATTTAAGACCACTGTAATACGGCGAGAATGACATGCTACCCATGGGACTGGAGACAACCCTGATCGAATGGAAGCAAGATGATGGCCCCTTCCATCAGTAGCCACTGTAGAAATCCAATCCAATTCCCAAAAACTAAGGAAGCATGACCGAAGCACAGCTAGGGCGTCTTTCCGTAATTTGCTAGGCATTTTAAGACTGAACATATGCTCCTGCATTGCTTCGTCTAGTCTGTTCTTGAAGGCGTTCTACTCGGAGCGTCAACGATGCTATCAGGGAGGCTATTACCTCGGTTGATCAAAAATACGTTAATTCATGTAAAAATCTGTAATGATTCCTGCGGCAGCGTACCAATAATGTCTACTCACATTCCAAAATTCAAGCAAATCCGTTCAGTATTGAAGGTCTTATGAGTGGTTCAGTTGCGCGAGTCCGCAGGCGAGTTCGCAAGCGGGCCCGCAAAAGTGTCGATTCAGTCAAGCCAGCCCCCCCCCCCAACTGACTATAGTATATGCGCTAAAAATTCTATAAATGGAATTTCGGAGTATCAGACTACATAGGAAATGTATTAAACACCGGTCAATGAATAATTACGTTGTCAAAAAATAACAACCGAATATTTTTTCAAACTAAAGGACTTCATTAAAGTTTCAATGAAAGCTCCTTAATATATTTATTATGCAATAATTTAGGCTCCCAACATATCAATCACTGAATTTGATCATTCTTCTCCGGAAATTTTTCTACCAAATTTACAGTACTCTCTAATGTCCGGGTTTTAATTTTCATTCATACGAATAATTGTTCTTCGTGTGGAGTGTTGTCCTCGGGATTGATTTGTTATCCTGAGCCTGAGTGTACGAAGAAGAATTAAAAACTTGCAACTTTTATTTACTAACATGACGGTTCGCAACTCATCTTTGTATAGTTTATCAACTGGAGCTCCTAAAAGAAGATGGGGAGTTGAATTGGGTGGAGGTGGCCGTAAAGATCGGATCAGCGATGCTCTCCCTTCACCGCCCGGCTACAATCCCAATATGCAGGTAGTATGACACTATGACTCAATGTGGAAAGGAATAAAAAAAATTTTATTATTCAACTGCTCATTATTGTACACTTGAATTACTTTAAATTAGAGTCTAACAGAATAGAGAATTTACAAATCTTAAATTTGAGTTTTAAAACTTATAATGAAATGAAGTTTGCATGCACATTCACATTGCAGGCTCCTTAGACCTAACTGGAAGAAATGGGATATTACTTATTAGATTTATTAATACACCTGTTCAAGCTCTCTTGCATGCTATTTACGCAATAAAATTGCTAGTAATTTAGCACAATGACTGAAATATTAATTTTGAATAGATTTGAACTCAAACTTGTCAGCTAACAGGAACAGAGAAACAAAATCTTTACAGAGCTTAAAGCAGGAAGCAAGGAGTGACAATTAGTTACATCTCACCTTGATGACCAGGCATGGAATATATATACTTGGCGAACCGCTACTGAATTTTTTTAGCTGTAGTTTCCAGACAGGAATAATGGGCAGATTTTTTAGAATACCGCGGGTAAAAATAGGCTCTTCAAGGGTGAAGTTGTAAAATCGCGGGTGCAATTTTCGTCCTCCCGGGTGCTTCTCGAAAATCGCGGGTAAGAATTTACTGTTCTCGGGCAATTTTACGAAATAGCGTGTGAACAGCTGCGACCTACCGTCTCTCAACTTCTCACGCCGAGCCGCCGAACCGATGGCGAACGAGAGGTGCCGCGCCATAGCCCATAGCTAGACCAGCAAATTACCTCAAATCAGCCCTGGACAGTGGACCTGGAGCCAACATCAACCTTCTAAATGCTATTGATATAGTCATCCTGGCAGTGGCACCTAAGCAGCTGTACTCAATTGACCCATCGTACCTCACGAACTTTAAACCAACAATGCTTCAGCTAACAAGCTGCTATTCCACATAGTTAACGGTTGAAACGTAGTTCTCCAATAACTTTCAACCGACACCATCACCTCGAAGGATTGGATCGTCGGCAAGCATATGTATATGAGACTCGTATGTCGGATGGTTCTACAGGCAATTAAGTTGAGAACACTGGTTGTCGAGTCGTTNAACCCCGAAAAACCCTTATTTTATGGTTTTCAAACCATGGGTTTGGCTTTAAGGGGAGCGTCTACCCTAAAATTTATCTCGGCTATTTACGAACGGATCACTCTGAAACTTGGTACACATATGTAAAACAGAATTCTAAGACATTTTTGTTCGTGTGAATTTTTCGAAAAAAATGAAAGAAAACGTGAAATTCTTAGAAAACGGCCAAAAAAGGGGGTACCGTAGAAATCTATCTCCTCCTAGGATTTTCAAGCTACCACATCGAGACACATATCATTCGATGCGTAAAGACCATATCTAAAACTGATGGCAGCGGTTTTTTGGATTTCTAATTTTTGTGGGAGTGGGAGCATTTTTCGTGAATTTTTCGAAAAATTTTCGATTTTCCCCCCCGCCACCCCCCTTTTTGCGGAATAAAATCCAAACTATAACGAAATTAGAAAAAAGCCTGCCATCCGTTCTAGATAATTTTGTTGCGCATCGAATGGTATATGTCTCATTGTTGTAGCTCAAAAACTCTAGGAGGAGATAGGTTTTCCGTGACAATAAGTGTGAATGTTGAGAAGAGCGCGACAAAGTCCCGCGCGCACCACAATATGCGCTCAATGTTGCATAGATACCAAACTAAACGTTTCTGAAGCTTGATTCCACTCAAGGATGATGGGAGCAACTACATGCACATCTCTCCGTACAACGCCCGGAGGCACACTGAGTCAGACCTCATAAAAACACTGTATTTGTAGAGCTGGGGCAGCGAATTATCTCCTATCTATTACTGAAAGAACTCCCCCACCCGCCCCCCTTTCATAAAGTGTCGTGTACGTAAAAATCAACGTACAGAGATGGTAGTGGTACCGTTGGATAGGCCAGAATGTCAGCTTTAAGATGAGACTAAACATGTAACTGCAGCACAACTCAAGTAGACACTATACTTAAAGAGCTCAGCAGCTAATTAGTTCCTATCTAATTACTTAAAGAACTCCCCCACCCGCCCCCCTTTCATGAAATGCCGTGAAATCATAAATCAACGTAGAGAGATGGCAGTGGTACCGTTGGATAGGGCAGAATGTCAGCTTTAAAATGAGTATAAAAACCGAAAAAGTGGAAATTTTCAATTTTAGGGTAGACGCTCCCCTTAATGCAAACTGATCACTTTTGACATGACTGCAACTATGCACAATCTTCAACAAAACGTTTAGTTGATTTGTTTACATTACAATGTTTATGTTTTTCTGCAGGATATTTTGGCGGGAATGGTAAAGCAATGCAGATTGCAGAAGTTGAAAATTTTATGAAATGACATGTTTGCAAAGTGCAACCGCGATTTTTCAATCAAACAAAAATTTATGACATTCAAGCCGTGAGATTTCATACCTACTGAAATTATATGATATTAGAGCCACGATATTCCAGACAAAAATAGGACTTTTCCAGCCCGGTTGATGACCACAGAATATGGCATGGCCACATTTCCATGATTTAAAAAAAAACGAGGAAGTGTCAATCAAGCTGTCAATTAAAATCAAATGTTGACAGTGTAACTGTCACAGTGACAGCTGGGGAGCAGGCAATCAAATATCATAGTTGTCAATTAAACATCAGGCATCAGCCAGGAAAAAGTTTCAATCAAGCTGTCAATCAAATAGTGACTGATGTCAATCCAATGTCACAGTTGTCAATCAAGCATCAGGCACAGGCTATCAGCCTCTTCAAGTGGGCAGTCAACATCAAAGTATTACATAAGCAGTAAAGGCAGTATCTCCTAAATTGTAATAATTTAAATATACCAAAATTTTGTAAATTAAAAGGAAGAAATTGAATTTCTAAAAAATTTATTAATTCCATGGCAAAACTTGAATATGCTTTCAAAATCATGAATTCTGTTGCAATTACAAAAATTAGGACATCTGTCAGGGAGATTAAATTTCTAGTTGGGCATGACTTCAAGCCTGAATATTTTAGTAAGAAGTAAAATTCTGTAAATCTTGTTATTAAGACTAGTACCGTAAAATGGGGTTACTTTGACCGGTGGGGTAACTTTGACCACTTTTCGTTTTTTTAACAAAAACCCCCAAAACTCAAAAACGATTTGACAGAAACTGAGAAAAATTTTGTCAATGGCCATCAAAGGCCTATTACTGAGGCTACATAACACAATAGAAAGATTTGAAAAGTTTGCATATCTAATAGGTTAAATAATTAATAATGTGACCCACAAAAAAGAGCTATTATTTAAAGCCTGTCGGAGTACCCCCTCCAATTTTTTTATTTTTTGGTAAAATAACTCCAGGTTTTGATGCATTGTAGTAGAACTCTTCTAGTTACATATGCAAAAGACAAATTTTAGGAAAGTGTCATAATTTGCAAATGGGGGGCACCGCCCCCCAATGGGGGAACTTTGACCACCTGATGGCAGCCATGATGGGGTAACATTGACTGGCTTGGAAATTAAGTTAAAGTTACCATAGGTACGGTACCTATATAACATATTTTATGTTTGATTACACCTATTAATGTTTTTTTTCTTTATGTTTCAGACTCTACAGAGTCTTATATATGGTAATTTTAACTAAATTTCCAAACTGGTCAATGTTACCCCATCACGGCTGCCATTAGGTGGTCACATTTTGCCCATTGGGGGGTGGCACCCCCCATTGGCAAACTATGACACTTTCCTAAAATCTGTCTGTTGCATATGTAACTAGAAGAGTTCTACTACAATGCACCACAACCTGGAGTTATTTGGAGTTATTTTACCAAAAAATATAATTGATTTTACCACCCGGTCTAAGTTACCCCAAGAGCTGGGGTAACAAAGACCATCACTTTTTTTGAAATTACATAAAGACTATGAGAGGCAGGAGCCAGCAATTTATGGTGAGTGAAGCTAGAGTATAGACCTGTATTTTGCATGTTTCAATTTAAGCTTAACTTATCTAGTAAAAAATGGCATCATTTTGAAAAAAAGTGGTCAAAGTTACCCCATTTTATGGTATAAAACACATCTACTCTTTTAGCCAAGACTGGATTTTTGAAGCAATAAATTCATGTGATTTTGTGTCACAAGTCTATTTTTTGAGCTGTTAATCCCTTTCACTGGCTATGGACCAATCAGGAAAGTTGGACAAAACTTTTAAAATATTGTGGGTTTAAACTATTATCTACAGTGCAATTTTTAATAACTGCAGGCATAATATACTACCAGTTATCTACTTTTTAATGAAAGAGAATTAGTCAAAGGTCATAAAAATTGATTAAATTGACTGCAAGCCCAAAATGGAAAATTAAGCAGAAGCCATGATAGCCATCCATGAATTGGACAAAAATACCTGTAAATCTAGCCAATTTCACCCATTCCTAAAGCATTTTTGCAATTGTTTTTAGTTGAAAATAGGATAAATTGCATTTTTACCAATATTTTTACAAAATCACCCATGAAATGAATCTTTTTACCAACAATTTTAGGAAATTCATGCCCAATAGTATAAATTGGTTACAAGCATAAGCATTTTTGTCTCATTCACATTGGCTTCTATCAGATTTTCCAGAATGGACAATGGAAAGCCATTTTTTGAGCAATAAACTTGTTTGCAAAGGGGTGCACATGTACTATGCCAAATCTCTAATTTTACCCTAGAAGTTGCCACTAAAATATTTTTTCTTAAATTTAGAGGCAATTGAGCAATATGAGTATGTGATAGGTAGCATATTCTCATGTTTTAGTTGAAATAAAAATGCATTCATAATGCAGTCTGACAGCCTGATGCTAGCATAAAATAAACATTTTGGGTGCAGTCATTGTGTAGGATATTTTGGTAGGAGGGCAATACTGGAATGCAGATAATAATGTCACTTGTTTGCTTGAATTATAAATTCACTAAAAACTTGAAAGCTAAGAAAACTCCACAAAATTCATAGTATCTGTAAAG